TTGTCAAACATTTTCTGTCTTGATTTCTTCTCAATAATGTTCTTCGATGTGCCACAGATTCTCTGCTACTGGCTTACTGAAGGAAGATGAATAAGAATAATAGCCCCTGTGACGCCACAGAACGGTTTACAATGAGCAACGTCACTGCCTGTGTTGCGTAGGTCAGAGGCAGTTGACGTCAGCAAGGTGAAGCCCAGAAAGTACCACGTGACAAGCTGAAGCTGAACGCCATGTCACGTGAGTTTTATCTGCAGATAAGAGTAGTAGGAGGCGGACGTACTTACTTTTTTTCTGTGTGAAACTAACAACGTAGAATTGTTTGTGAACGAAAATATCGGTCCCGTGTTAAAATTCCGTTTTTATTTACTTTCGTAATTGCGCTCACGGTAGCGGGAAAACGCCTCCACTGGACCCTCAACAAACACAGAAATGATTCAGCCGCAGAGAACTTCTGACTTTAACGTCATCACTCTGCTAAAGGCCCGGTTCGCTGCAGGGGGTCTGAGTCGAAACGACAGATTGAAACAATCTCTGTCTTAATATTAGATAGTAAGACAGGTTCTAGCCAGAACCTCTCAACCTCAGTCAAATCAATGCACTGGCCATCAGAATCTCGGTCTCTCAAAATATATAAATAGATCCCGACAGACAGACTCAAGACTAAAGTATTGTTGGATACTCAAACGATGGAGAGTGTTCTTCCACAGAGTCAGGGAATTCTGTCGAGCTGTCACGTCCTTTGGACTTATCTTTTAATTGTGTTAAGAAATGATAGCACCACTTAACATCTTTGATAAGAGCATCTGTTATGTTCTTTGGGCACTCCCTAATTATTTTTATTTTCTTAAATAAATTTGTATTGATTTAAGTTGAGTGGTTTTGTTTTTAATATATTTTTAGTGTAGTGATTCTTTTTGTAATTAGTTTGGCTTTAATTGGTGGGCGAGGACGGCCTATATATATAGGCTGGGTTGTAACGGTTCCCCCGCCCAGCCGCTCTCTCTCTAGCTCGCTCATCCACCTCCATCTCCACCTCCAAGAGGGATGCACCCGGAGGAGGCTCCTCCAACTTTGTCGGCCTTTGGACCCATGTGACGCCTCCTGCCTGCCATGGGGATTTTTTGGGTTGTTTTTTGGTTTGTTTTGGCCTGGTGAGTCCGGTTGTCCTGTTTTTGGTCATTTTGTGTTAATAGCTTATATTATTTTTCCCTATTTTCTTTAGTCTGGTACTAGCAGGGGCTTCGACGGCCCTGTATAGGGTTGGCCCCCTGCTGTACCTTTTTGTTTCTTTGGACCGGCTCACCAGGTCCACCTTTCTGTTGAACTTTTTTCTCTTAATTTTTTTGTTATGTTTTGGGACACGGGAAGAGGGGTTCTTTCCTTCCTTTACAGAAAAAAAAAAACAAGTAGAAAAGGACAAGGAAGTCTAAAAGAAAAGAAAAAAATGAATAACGGAATTTTTTTCTTGGAATCCTTTTGTCCACGTGTCCTTTTAAATATGGCGTCCTGGCGGACGTAACAGCATCACATCCACAATATCCTGGCTGAAAAGGCATAAAAAGTACGGCCATAGTTTGCTTTCTGATATTGGGTTTTCTTCTTCAAGTTTTTTCGGTTTTGCTGTCTCATCGTCGTCGGATCTTGTTTGTCTCCTCCTCCCATCGTGGAACATCGGAAAGCGGAATTCTCTAATATTTGTTTGACTTGATTTGTCTTTCATCTCTCGATATGGGAATAACACTCTCAGTATGTCCCTCCATTTCATCGGTACCCGGTGCAATATTTGCTGGTTTTCTTGGCCAGATCCAATTTATTAGGGGGATGACGAATTGGCTTTAAATCCTCATTATCAATATCAAGTTTGGGTTTCTCTGGTTCAGTGAGACCCAGTCCTGCTCCAATCCAATGCAAACCTCCGGATATCCAACTCATTTTGTCAAACATTTTCTGTCTTGATTTCTTCTCAATAATGTTCTTCGATGTGCCACAGATTCTCTGCTACTGGCTTGCTGAAGGAAGATGAATAAGAATAATAGCCCCTGTGACGCCACAGAACGGTTTACAATGAACAACGTCACTGCCTGTGTTGCGTAGGTCCGAGGCAGTTGACGTCAGCAAGGTGAAGCCCAGAAAGTACCACGTGACAAGCTGAAGCTGAACGCCATGTCACGTGAGTTTTATCTGCAGATAAGAGTAGTAGGAGGCGGACGTACTTGCTTTTTTTCTGTGTGAAACTAACAACGTAGAATTGTTTGTGAACGAAAATATCGGTCCCGTGTTAAAATTCCGTTTTTATTTACTTTCGTAATTGCGCTCACGGTAGCGGGAAAACGCCTCCCTGGACCCTCAACAAACACAGAAATGATTCAGCCGCAGAGAAACTCTGACTTTAACGTCATCACTCTGCTAAAGGCCCGGTTCGCTGCAGGGGTCTGAGTCGGTCCAACGACAGATTGAAACAATCTCTGTCTTAATATTAGATAGTAAGACAGGTTCTAGCCATACCTCTCAACTCAGTCAAATCAGTGCACTGGCCATCAGAATCTCGGTCTCTCAAAATATATAAATAGATCCCAACAGACTCAAGACTAAAGTATTGTTGGATACTCAAACGATGGAGAGTGTTCTTCCACAGAGTCAGGGAATTCTGTGGAGCTGTCACGTCCTTTTGGACTTATCTTTTAATTGTGTTAAGAAATGATAGCACCACTTAACATCTTTGATAAGAGCATCTGTTATGTTCTTTGGGCACTCCCTAATTATTTTTATTTTCTTAAATAAATTTGTATTGATTTAAGTTGAGTGGTTTTGTTTTTAATATATTTTTAGTGTAGTGATTCTTTTTGTAATTAGTTTGGCTTTAATTGGTGGGCGAGGACGGCCTATATATAGGCTGGGTTGTAATGGTTCCCCCCCCAGCCGCTCTCTCTCTAGCTCGCTCATCCACCTCCATCTCCACCTCCAAGAGGGATGCACCCGGAGGAGGCTCCTCCAACTTTGTCGGCCTTTGGACCCATGTGACGCCTCCTGCCTGCCATGGGATTTTTTGGTTGTTTTTTTGGTTTGTTTTGGCCTGGTGAGTCCGGTTGTCCTGTTTTTGGTCATTTTGTGTTAATAGCCTATATTTTTCCCTATTTTCTTTAGTCTGTACTAGCAGGGGCTTCGACGGCCCTGTATAGGGTTGGCCCCCTGCTGTACCTTTTTGTTTCTTTGGACCGGCTCACCAGGTCCACCTTTCTGTTGAACTTTTTTCTCTTACTTTTTTTGTTACGTTTTGGGACACGGGAAGAGGGGTTCTTTCCTTCCTTTACAGAAAAAAAAAAACAAGTAGAAAAGGACAAGGAAGTCTAAAAGAAAAGAAAAAAATGAATAACGGAATTTTTTTCTTGGAATCCTTTTGTCCACGTGTCCTTTTAAATATGGCGTCCTGGCGGACGTAACAGCATCACATCCACAATATCCTGGCTGAAAAGGCATAAAAAGTACGGCCATAGTTTTCTTTCTGATATTGGGTTTTCTTCTTCAATTTTTTTCGGTTTTGGTTTCTCATCTTCGTCAGATCTTGTTTGTCTCCTCCTCCCATCGTGGAACATCGGAAAGCGGAATTCTCTAATATTTGTTTGACTTGATTTGTCTTTCATCTCTCGATATGGGAATAACACTCTCAGTATGTCCCTCCATTTCATCGGTACCCCGGTGCAATATTTGCTAGTTTTCTCCGCCAGATCCAATTTATTAGGGGGATGATGAATGTTGGCTTTAAATCCTCATCATCGACATCAAGTTTGGGTTTCTATGTGTGACCTCGGTTACGACCTTAGTTATGTGTGAAGAACCTTAAATCCTCTGGTGTTGTCTTTTTACCAGATCACACATAAGTTTGTAAAGAAAATGATCAGAGGCACTGATGCAAATTAACCACAGTTTATTTAATCACAATAATGCTAGGCATAAATAGTCAATTAATTTTATTGTACAATATCAACCACTTTAAAATCCTAAATCTATGCTGGCCCTGGAAATCTTACCGCTGATGACCAGTTACTTTGATTAAATAAAATCAGACTGCTTGGGGGAGAAATAATAATTAAAAAAACAAAATGTAACTGAATACACCTTGGTGTTCCCAAACAAAAACACTCGCACAACAAAAGAAAAAACTCCCGGTGAATAACACAAAACAAGGAACTCCCCTTCCACTAGTCTCCTCAATCTAGATAAAACAGCTTGGAACCAGGGACAGCACAGGTTATCTACAAGCGAGCCTGGAGGGCTGAACAATAAAAACTCCCAAAAGAATAAAAAGTTTAATCCATAAATAACCAAAACAAACTAAAACCGAAACAGTAGCAGGCCAACCTGCACACAGAGAATAAAATTAAACAGATATTTTAAATAACCACATAATAATGAACTGCCTTTACCTTCGCTAAAGCTAGCAGAGCTCTTTATATCCTCTCCAAGAGGTTTCCTGCAACAATAAAATGGAGCCATCAGAAATAATTCTCAACCCAGCGCACACTTCATGTTAACCATACCTGCAGAGAAATCAGCCTGGACTCTCACCCTCTCAGCGATCTACCCGCTTTTAAATGTAATACCGATTGCTTGCCTCCGTAATGAATCAGCTGCGCTAAAACAGCGTCTTCCTTATATGGGCAAACGGAAGAGTGCATAATGGACATAATGCCCCGGCTACATATGGATCAGTGAGACGAGTCCTGCTCCAATCCACTGTAAACGTCCGGATATCCAACTCATTCTGTCAAACGTTTTCTGTCTTGATTTTGGTGATGGAGCAGGGGGAGATGGTGCTGGATCAGCCAGGGGTTGAGCAAAATTTATTTTGCTTTGATTTTTTTTTAAACAATGTGGCGTTCGGGGACTCTCTCTAATGTAGATTTTCAGATGGTCAGTGTTTATCTTCTGGAATATCACCATTATCATCTTGAATATCTGTTTTTGCCTTGGATATTTATGACTGTAGGGTCCGAGAAAGCCGGCATCCGACTTCCCACCTTTTCTCTGCTGACTGCGTATTTTCTGCCTCCACACTCGGTCACCAGGTTTAAACATAGTACCGTTGTGTTGTGTTTCTGCCCTTTGCTTTCTCCCGTTTGTGGAAACGCTTTCACTGACAATGCTCCGAAGGCTTTCTTGGGCTTTCAGGTCCTCTGCCGACTCCTCCACCGTCAATCTCTCAACACAAATGTAATGTTTCAAGTGTCAGTTCAAATCTGTCATTTAGAGAGCATATAGTCATCATTTTTATGGCTTGCTAGAGTGAGATATTACAACATATTCTGAAAAATAACCCTTTGAATGTCTCTTGAAAGGGTTCATGTAATTTTCACATTTATTAAAAAAATTGTGAAAACCTTTTCAGAATATAGTCCTTTGTGAATGGTACGGTTTACAAAAATGTATGACCTCACTGAAATGTAATTTAAATGCAAACTCTTTGTGACTACGTAAGAAAACAAAAAACATTTTTTAAGAAACTTAAGAGTTAATTTGAAACTATAATATTGGATTTAAATCCACAACAATGAAATGGAAATATTCATTTCCATTTCATTGTTATGAAACCCTACAATGTAATGTTCAGGGACTTCAGAGGAATAGCGTGCTTCGCTTCCGAACATGAGGAAATATGGGGAATACTGTGTGGTTTCTTGCTTTTTGGTGTGTATCCCAAACATCACAGCACCCAAATACTCGTCCCAGGTGTGTGGATGGCCATCCACAACCTTACTCAGAGCTCTGAGATACATGAAAGGTATAATATGTCATGCATAACACATGATATCATACAATTTGCCTTATTATGCAAGTAGTTTAGCAAATACACATGTTTTTTGTGATCTTTCTTTGAACATGCATGCATTGAAGATAATACTCACCTTTGAATGGTCCCATTCATTTTTTTCAACCAACCCATTGGTTTGGGGGTGGTATGGGGAACACAGACTTCGTTTGATATTGAGAAGTTTGTACACTTCTTGGTTTATCTGAAAATATATAAACAAATAGCTCTGACAAAATAGCCTGTAAATTTACACAACATATCGAAAAAAAGAGTGTAAAGGAGGACATTGATAGTGTTAAATTTTTCTAAGAAAACAAATACTTGCATAATTTACAAACTCTCTCTCTTGGTCGGTCAAAATCCTTTTGGGGGCTTCAAACTGATGCACAAACTTAATTATGCATTCTGTTACTTCAGGTGCTGATTTAGACTTTGGGGGATATGCTTGTGGCCACTTTGTAAAATAGTCAGTCATGACACAAATACACTTGTGTTCAGATTTTGTTTCTGCCATATTTCCAATAAGGTCCATCCCAATTAATTCAAAGGGATGGGAAACCTTAAATGAAAGACTTCATAGATTAATAAATAAAAAAAATAATAGACCACAGTGAAATGTTTAAACGCATTATTTTGTTAAGCTAAAATAGTAGCTTCTCAATATATTGTTAAATGTTTAGTATTATAAAAATACATTCCTTAATTTCATACATCAACTTGTTCAAAATGTAGGCCCTTTATGAGAACACAGGCAAAGAGGACAACCAACCACTGCTGCACACCACCATGTATTTTCACTGAAGCTGTTTCTTTATTATTTTTACCTTTATGGGAGTATACACTGATGGCTGTTTCAGTGCTTGAAAACTCGACTGGCAGGATGAGCACTCGGAGACGTATGAAGTTAATGAAAGATAAAAACAAACAAGAATTTAACACATGCAAAGTTGACATTATTGGACTATTATAGATTCATATTGGTAACATAAATAAGTCTTTCACATTTATTTGCATAAAATTTAAATCTTGTAGTTGGAAAACTGTCTGGTGACTGTCTTTTATTTCTGCCAGGCTTAAGTGAGAAAAGTTGGGAAAAGAGCGATTCTCTTCGCGTTTAAAATAACAAAACAGTGTCAGAAGACCTCTTTTATTTATTTAGTTTACAATTTTTTCAACAACTGCTGCCAATTAAACTGAATGTTAGAACCTCGACATAATCATATGAGTTGTTTTACCGAGAAATCGATCCGAAGCGACGTGAAAACGGTCAGATCCAGGTCCTCTCTGGCTGCAATGCGCGCTCCCAACACAGAGTGAACATTTTCACAAGGGAACCGAATTTCGCACCAGACCTGAATCTGTCTGATGAAGAGCGCGTGAGGAAGGCTGATTCATTGATGGTAAAACTACACACCCAACAAGGACTTTGTACCGAACTTCACACCCACAGAGATGCAGCCGTCAGGACAAGTTTTGTCATTTCTCTCAAAATCACCAGAAAAGTAATGTGTTTTCTGACGGAGAGTTTATGAAGGAGCGCTTTTGGACTCTGTTGCCCTGATATGAAGGGCGCATTTGAGAACCTGTCACTCTCCCGACGCTCTGAAACAAGGCGTGTTGAGGCCATCGCTAGAAACCCGGAGCTTCATGTGTCTGCGCTCATGAACCAACTGAATGTCAAACTGCAGTGCAAGGGCCTTTTTGTGCATGAGATGTACAGTGGAGTGATGGCTTTCATGAGAAGTTGCAGCTTCTCTCAAGACAAGTGAAGGACAACATTCTGACCCACTTGCCAAAGGAAGCCACAATATCAGCCGATCACCTCCACAAGTACTCAAGCAAGTTAGAAGCACTGTGTGGAGAGTTTTCGAGGCGATTTCAAAGCTATTGAGCGTGAAACACACATGATTTCTTCTCCCTTCAACTGCAGTGTGGACAATGCACCAAGCGATGTTCAGATGGAGCTCATAGACCTGCAGGAGAAAAAGTCTCCTGTTTCTGACCTACTTCTGGCAGAGTAGAAGTAGGTCTCATTGCTGGACTTTTACTCCTCCCTCAAAGAGGAGAACTTTCCACACCTAAGGAGGCATGCTCAGAGGATTCTGGTCCTCTTTGGATCCACGCATGTATGTGAACAGACATTTTCAGTGATGAAGTTCAACAAATTCAAACAGAGATCATCACTGATGAGCCTCTCTCAGCTGTCCTTCGCATAGCCACCTTAGACATTCAGCCAGATTTCTATGCTCTTGTTCAAGCCCAGAACAGACTGGATTATTCACACTAAGAGATAAAATGAGGTGGAAAACATAGGACATTATTGTTTGTTGTATTTCAGTATTTCTGTAAACCTGTAGTTTGTTGTTTGTCCTTGTTTGTGGAACAAAGTTAAAGTGTGAACAAGTTAAAAATAAATTGCAGTGATTCAATGATTGTTTTTTGTTTTCTTGTTTCAATGTCACGTAGCCTCATATAATATTTAAGGATTAACAGTTTAAATAAAACCATCAAAAGCAATCTGCTTTTGTATGAAGTTAAGTGAGGTTAAATGAAATTATTATTATTTATCTTACCCCAGGCCTTGAGGGCCAGTCTCCTGCAACTTTTAAATTGTTTCTACTTCAACACACCTGAATAAAATAATGCGGTCATTAGCAGAACTCTGGAGAACCTGACTGCATGTAGGAGGTGATTCAGCTATTGGATTCAGCTGTGTTGGACCAGGGAGACATCTAAGAGTTGGAGGACACCTGCCTTCGAGGACCAGGATTGCCCCGGTATATCAAAAATGATATTGAGCAAAATTTAACTGAAATATTGTCGATGTGGCCCTCCAGTAGAGCTCGGGTTGCTCATGCGGCCCCCGGTAAAAGTTATTTGCCCCCCTCTGTGTTAGAGTGAATGTTTGTATGTTTTGTGTTACTAAACATTGTTTACTAGACTATCGTGATTAGTAACTGATTGATTGAGAAATTCAAGCTCTGAAAGGAATATTTGGCATAAAATGATTTGAAATCTCAGTTTTTCGAGACGGTGATTTGAATGCGGATGTAAATAAGTCTCCTGATTTTTCTGTTTCCAGCAAAGAAGAGCTGCTTGCTGACAGTGGCTCACTTGACAAAAATAGTAAATGCCATTTCTGACTTGCAGGAGAAATTTGGCTTGTAAAAACAAACTTATGCTCATTCCGCATCTAAGGCGTGATTCAGCTATTGAATCACGTTACAAAGATATATTAATAAGAGCATTGGTTTGCATGTTACTCCCTGTGCTTGCGTGGGTTTCCTCCGGATACCCCGGTTTCCCCCACACTCTAAAAGATGTCGGTATCAGGTGAGTATGTCTCTCTGAACTGTCTTAGGTGTGAATGTGTGAGTGAATGCCGGTTTGGTTTGGAATGAATGAATAGGGTTTTTTGATGATAGTACATTTATGTTCATAGAGACGTCATGAAATTCAGATGCTTTGACTCACGCTTTCCGAGCAGTAGACTCCTTCTTAGTTTTTTGCTGCAATTGTTGAGGAGTTTGTTCATGGACAAAGAGAAAATAGGAGCTTTCCTGGGAGTTTTCTATGGTAATTAAAATTGAACATTTTAGTTCAGATCCTTACCATAGAAGGCTCTGAACTTCACCAAAAAAATAAAATTCTTGAAGTTTTCATTTGTAACTTCAGTTAAACATAACTTATTATTCTACTAATAACTATGATAGCTCTTCTTATACTATCTACTTTGGTGAAATAAAATAGGATTTGTAATTGTCTTGTGTATGGTGTTTTTGTGATGTATTAATTTATATTTTGCTACATTTTTACCATCACTTAGATGACTGAAAATGTAAAGAACAAACCAGGAGGAGACAGGATCATCAATGAATATGGGCAGACAAAAAGCCTATCAGATAGCAGACGGCGGGTCATGGTCAAGACACTCGTTGCCCATATGACAAGTGAACATAGGTATGCTGAAATTATTTATTTTTTCTATGCACCTCTCACAATTACCTTGATTGAAGGTTTTCTTTACACCTTTAACAATGCTCATAGTTTTTGCTGTGTCTCTATAGGACAAGTCCTTCCAGACGTGTAAAAGAAAACTATGCAAAGGGTATTATGACCTTGTTCCCTTACCTGGCTGATCCTAAGAGCAGATTTGGCTATGAAAGTTCAAAACAGAAGTTCAACCTCTTGGCTATGGTGTGAGTAGAACTGAAAATGTTTCTCTTTTGCATGCCCTGCATCTGTGCCACTTGTTTTTAACTTTCCAATTTTTAAACCTTTGTAGAGTTCATTGTTCCAGTGTTGGGCTACTGCAGCTTGAAAAATAACATTGTGAAGAGATTTTATCTATGTAATTCAAACAATGTGAAATCAAATCTGTAAATCACAGCTACTAGCATTCATGCTTGCCTTTGTTTCCACAGCTTTAAAAACATTTATCGTTCACCTACTTTTAGGAACATTATTTCAATGCAAAAGATGGAAGCGGGTATCTGGCTTCTCCAGAGGGAAGCTTCTAATGGACAAAAAGGTCCCCAGACTGTCACAAACCCAAACAGGTATATCTATTTATACTTGTACACATTTCATCCTGCAACCACACTCCACAATAAGTTCCCAAGCCTTATTTATTAAATCCTAAGATGGAGTCTCACATTCATATAATTTTTTTAGGGGGACCAACAACTGATAGAGACTGTTTGAGAGAAGAAGACTGCCTTATGACAGATAGCTTGTGTTCTGAGGCCATTGCGCTGATGAAGCACACAGCTGAAGAAGGAACTGTTATGAGGAAGATGAAACAGACTTTCAACTATCGCCAGAAGATGATTCATGACCCAGTGAAGTCATCGAGTATCTTTGAACTTCCCAAGATTCCTGGACATAGGAGGATTGGTATGTTTATCTTCACTTCAGTTTAACCACAAAGTTTAAATTGAGGTGGATGTGAGAAAGTTTCACAAAATAATTTTTAACACCTTCACTTCATCTGTTCTCCAGGTTGAGCAAGATTTTAGGTTGATGTTTGGGGAAGCCATCTCTGCAAAGTTCCTGGAGAAGTGGCCCACTGTCTACCAGCAGAAAAGTCCTCAAACTAAGCTGTGGTCTCACACAGTCTGATGACCTTGAGAACCTTCTTCACAATGCTGAAGGCACAACAGAAATGGAAAATGGTAAGTTGCAAAGACTTATCAAGAAAATGTTAATGTCATAGAATTTAATTCGAATCGGACCTCCTCCTGCCGTCAGTGTTTGGTAAGCTTACTCTGGAAGTATTTACACGGTTGCAAATAAGAAGTTTTGGTAGCTTATGATTATTTTAATTTTCTTCAAGGATGGGACAGTGATATGTCATCCATTTTGATCCTAGTGCCCCTCCTGCCACCGTCACCTCATAAGCGTAAGAGACCAGGAAAACTCTCATCCAGACCATCCAGTGAAGGTTGTCAAGGATTTGTCTGTGGATGCTGGTTCCACAGACAGGAACCAGCATCCAGGAGCACCTTGATGGCATCACAGAAAGCCGTCAACCATACCTGCTTGGAGTAGGAACTCAGAGGAGCGTGATTCACAGGTACTTCATTGTGATTGACAAACATACCATACCTTGTAAATCACAAGGCTCTCTTGCCTGTTTTGATGAGCTTTTTAAAGCTCACTTTGTGTTCGGCACTTCATATGATCATGACCTGGTCAATGTGTACAACTTTCTGCAGAACGCCATTCATGAGATAGACGTTGAGACAACCAAAGTTGTTTGTCAAGATGTTTTTTGTGAAATGCTAGTTTTCTGTAAGATCTACAATGTTGTTGTGAAAGATGAGAGGTTTCTGTTTGTTACATTTGCTCTGCAGTGTGTCTGAATGAGCATTTCAGTGCTTTTCAAGTTTGTGTACAAGAGATAGACTTCATGTTATTTATGTAGAAGAGCTTTACTGTTCCAGAGTGTGGAGCGAGAAAATGAACAAAGTCCAAACCTTGTTAAAGAGAGAACAAAATACAGCTTTATTACATCTGCGCAGATGGAGAGCACAACAGTTACAGTGTTCAGAAGAGCTCTAACTGGACAAAAGAAAAAAACCTCTCTGACATA